GAGCTAATTGAGGAGGCGATTTCTGCCGATGACCAATGAGTCGAAGAGCGAAGCGTAGCAGAACTAGGGCGTGTGTTACGCATACCACCAAATAGGATGCCCCGGCGCGCGATGTTTGCTGAGGCAGGTAGTGGATGGAAAAAAGCCAAGGGTGGTCAACCTAAGACCTGGCATGAGGGTATGAAATTCCTAACCAGGGGACTGGGTCACATAGATCCCGTTAGCCTCTCGGGATGGTCGTAACCGATGGTTACAGACACTGTGTCGTAAACAGTGGCGTTCCTGAATCTTTTCAATTTTTTGCAACCCTAGACCACTGAAATTTTCCATTTTCTGTTCGACTGTACTTTCAACCTTCTTGTCTTTCTCCTGTTCTTCATCCAAATGGGCAGCCAAAATCGCCGCACGAATGTGCATGGTTGTACAAACTGAAATGGACTGGATTGGTACATAGGCCACCTGCTCACAACGGGTTACGAACATCTTAACGTATTCTACCTTTTCAGTGTACATCTGTTGTGTGGTGAACAGCAGAGGAGGTAAACTCCATAGTTGCGAGGATCTGCTGTTCACTCCAGATAACCGACAGTCTAAGGTCTTCAATGTCTCGAAAACATTTTGTGTCCGTCCACCCTAAGTGTGTTCTCTGTGCTCACACAATGCACCTTCATTCATTTCGTTCTAATTCTACTGCTTACCTGGTTATCTAATTTTATTTGTTATGACACTGGCAACCAGCTAGTAGTAGTCGACTCTCCATTACCTTCAAAGTACATCAGATGGTGGTGGTGGTACCCGAGGCATTTACAGCATCGCCTAACCTAAAGGATTGGGTACACGATATAGTCCGTAGTGCTAGAGCTTACGGTTGCAAGATCGAGCCCCTCTGTGCTGACGATGCTGGAAGGCTTACGGAAGATACTTCTGCTGTTAATGGCAAAATCATGTGAACGAGGTAAAATGATGAAGCATAAAAAGATGACAGGCCGCAGGTGCATCTCTAGAGATGCCACTGCATTTAGAGATGTGTTCTAGGGATCTTGCCAGTAAGTTTTTTTTTCTGGGGAAAATCGATGGTGAACATTACATCCAGTTGAGGAACAAACATGCATTCACAAATCTAAGGATCAACTTGTGGGGAAGAGAAAGTATTTCCCATCGTAGTGAGAAATAAGACAGCTTTCTAACCTCACAGAATGGGTCTTGAACGTTCAGGGATCATGATAAATTGTGTGCTTGTGTGATACCAATAGATTTTTACCTTTGCTGATCTTACTGTGGGTTCGTGGTTGGCAGAAATGGAACGAAGCCTTTTTGTGATAACTTTATGGTAAAGTTTACTTGTTCTACTACCTTCCCATCACCTATGCTATATTGTAAATAACATCGACCTACTTCTGAAGTACCATTTGAAACTTGGACGGTATAGAACATTTGACATTTACTGCCATGCTATTCAAGAAGAAGAGCATTTAAGTAAGTAGCAGCATGGAAAAAACTCTCACTAGAACAGAAAACAGCTAGCGACAAATATAGAACCATGTTCAACTTACCCGTTATCACCACTTTCCCATTGACGAAAATGAGCAAGACCATACGAGGTTTGATTATCCGGTAGATGAGTCCAGGGAAGATCTCAGGCTCGTATCTGTGAATCAGGAGACAATGAAGTTCCATTTTGATTATTGCCATCATGCAAGGCAACCGTCAGACGTAATTCATTACATCGTCTTACAGAACCGCCAAGAGACTACACTTTGACATGGTGTGAAGACATGCGTGCCTCCAGGACCCTGCAAACTATACATTGTGGCTTTTATCAGCCGCAGATCCAAACACGGGGGTCGATGGGTAGGAGCTAGATGAAACTGTCTCACGACCAACTGATCGGGTACCGGACTTCCTTGGAGTATGCGCTTTAGCCTCTGGATAGATCATTCTAGTAAATAAGTATTTAAAAATAAAAAAACCTTTGCTACATGGACAAGTGAAATGTCCGACGATTGGAGAGGTCTTCGTGCTTCATTGGACGAATTTCGCTCATCCAAGTTGGGCATGTCTCAACTGTTCCACCTGGCTAATTGGTTAAACGAGTCTAAGGGCTCGTACTCGAACGGTGGAGCTACAATAGGCGCACCAGCGAACTAAACATTGAAGCAAAACCCGCGTGACAGGCTTATAGAACCTCCTTGTAATCAACACCGATCAGTTGATATTTTGCATCTATTGGTCCTGCTGAAATGTTGGTCAAGATTGACTCCGCGTTACCAACATGCGATTTAGCAATAGAGATTGCAATTTCTAAATGGGTGGATCTTGATTCGGCCCCCACCAAAGTGTTCAAAAGTGGTACCAAAAAGGTGCTCACATACAGGCTTTTCTGCGATTTTACTGCAACACAAGTGAATGAAGTTGTGTGTATTGGAGAACTGCCTATTGGTAAACAGATTATCACAGAGCTGGGTAAAAATGTGAGGGTTTCTGCTGTGATGGATTCTAGCGTACACATATCAGAGCCCTCAACAAAGCGTATCTTGATTCGACTCGGCTGAGGCCGTCACGCAATACAAAAAGGGGCTATGCGAATGATATCACAATTGCTGACTGAAGTACGGCGTTTAGTAAAACAATCTTTTTCTACCGAGATCCACTGGAAATAGTGGAGACTACTTAAACTTGGCAACGATCCGTGACTTGTTTTTGTTTCCCGCTGTAGCAAAATTGTTAGGGTTATCATATAGCCCAAAGAAAAGCCGCATGTGCACGCAATACGACATCGTTGAACATAACGGCGACGTGCTTATAATCTTCTCATACGTTAGAACTAGAACAGATGTGTATATAAGGCATCAGTAGTATAGATCTATTTATTTCAGGGAATCTTTAAAGTACAATCAGAATCCAGGTACTTTGTATCTATGATTGGTATCGCATCAAAGCACTGCAGATGAGACAACGAAATCTTTGAATATGAGGTGATGAGGCCGCTTTTACCACAACAGATTCAGAATAACCCAATCACTGAACAAATGCATAAATTATGTCGTAAATGTAGACTGAAACAAGTTCGATAGCCGTTGTTCTTGCAAAGATTCCCTGATTCTTGCTGTCAATTTTGGCACATTATTTGTATATGTGTAACTTGTGTAAGCATACATGCTGAAAATTCAGTCAAAAAAGTACACTGTTCGTCACACGGAATGAAATAGTAATAATAATAGTGAAATACAACACGAAAGGTAAAGAATGTCGCTGATATATGTTTAATGTACAAAACTTTGACGTAGTTCATTTGCGATCTTTTCCTTTTTGGTTAGGAGTCGGGCCAGGTAGGGTACAGGGGAATTTGTATAACTGTTAATGCGAGAGGGTAGATGCCGAAATGAGGAGCGTGTGAACGGATGGGAACAACAAGATGATACATCAGGGTGCAAGGATGAACAGGGTCATCTAGAATTGTATGGGCAAATTTAACACAAGAGTTGATGTGACCATCAATGAGTGCTGTGGTTAATGAATCGATCGGAATTAATGATGCAAGACTGATGATCACCAGATCACGGCGAATTATTTTGAAGTCTTGTTATAAAAGACCGGGAAATACTACAGAAGAGCAGTGGAGTNGAGTAGAATGGGTACAACGCATTGATGAACGGTAGAGGACAGGACTTATTAATGGGTTCAGATTTACTCAAGTTTGCGTAAATGAAAAGATAGGCATCTCAGTTTTCCCATACATTTGTAGACCAATGAAGATTGCTGTCGACGNNNNCGGTGACACCCAGGTACTTGACTGAAGTCATTCTGGATACAGGCTTACCGTCAAGGGTAGCAGAGTCGTTGGAAATTAGGAGCGGGAAAGACTGAAAATATACTACACACTAAGATATGTTAAGACAGACCAGATTGATCAGAAAACTGTTGGATGTCGTAAATTTTCAGTAAAAGAATGAAACTACGAAGGAGATGAAACTGTTTTACATAAAAGGACGTCATCATCATCACTTTTGGATATGCGTAGGGAGTGGGACCGAAAAATCACTAATAAAGGCAAAAAAAGATACAACAGCACTTTGAAGAACACTAGAATTATTAACAGGAGGTAAGGATGTTCTCCTTCCTAATTTGGTGCACTGAACCGTCTCCGGAAATAGTCAACAAGCGATGACAGTTGTTGTTCTGGAGTGCCAAAAGACTCAAGTTTGAAAAGAAGCCATAATCTGGAAACAGAATCAAAAGCCGACGAATAGTCGAGAAAATCACAAGGGACAAACTTGGCCGAATTGACCTGCTGATAAAATGCATTAGAGTGGACACGGCGTCCAATGTAGATCGGTTTGGTTTATATGCAAACTGAAGGAGATCGTAAGGAATTGCGGTGACTGACTGCAACCGACTCCGAATGGCTTTTTCAGTCAAATTTAGAGTCGCTGAGGTCAGTGCGATAGGACGAACGTAAGAGAACAGAACTGATATAAACATCATGCGAAAAGCATCAAGTGCACAGTATCGTCTTATGTACAGAACAGAGTAACACGAAAAATGTAGGAAGCAAGCCAAGTCTATGAGTACAGCAATGTAAATCAACATTAAAGGTCTGGATCGATACTCCCCGAAGTGGACCTCACACCTGAGTCAGTTCGATTCAACACAATGATCAAGTAATTGATTAGCGTTGACCTCAATGTGATCGCACGATCGAAGCGATGTCATATTTAGCACACAGGTTGCACGGTAAAATCGGGTGAGAAAAGTGGCAACCTCCATGGATGTGATTGCGTATGAGACTAGCACGGCTAATAGTCAATGAACTTTGATCAGGCCAGAGTGTAGTATGTGGTCCAGGCCTGAACGGATCGGGTTGGATGGCTTCAATTGGCTATCACTGCAGTGCAAAGAATCAATGTAATCGGAAAGATACGTCATGTGCAAGGCATTAGACACCAGAGGTTTAAAATCGACACTTACTGCGTCATTTGTTCGTTTGCCATCACAAGCCTTTCCAAACGGATAGGAAACCGCAGATCAACCAGACCAACCATATTTTGAATGGTAAAGTTGGTGAACTTTGCCTGAAAGTCACAAATAAACAGAGCTATTTACACACAGGTCAGAGTTGTATCTCTCACAATCGGCAAGCTGGTAAACGTAAAATGTGACCTAAAACTGTCGGTGAATAAGTTCTCATTAGAGTGTGAACGGTAAAGCTCTTGCAGGATCCCTCGGGCAATCCGAAGCCAGAAGTGGCAAACGACTGATTGCATGTATAACCTTGGTCGGTTGGAGCTTAAGAATGTATTTCGTCAAACGAGACGGGAATTGGGAAGCGCTCTACGGCCGTTTTGACCTCTTCATCAAGAAATCTATTCACCAAACTGAGAATCGAGCCGAGGAAATTGCAGGCAGAACGCAAGCACAATATACAAATGAATACCGGGCAGTAGCTGAGTATACTGTTTCAATTTTTCCATCAATGACATACCCCAACCTATGTTTGCAATCATGTTCCAAGTGTTGTAAGGCCCTGCTCACATTTGTGAGTAGTATGGTTGGATTATGCAAAAGAACGTGACTGACACTCTCACAACGGTCGAAAATTAACAAGACCTCTTAGAGTGAATTATTGTGTTCATAAATGGCAACTACGGACCGTTCCATTCATTGTCCTGTATGTTTGTGGGAATTTTGATGACATGTTCCACATGAGACCTTTTGATTTATGTACACCAATTCATCCATACCCTTACTGTTGTTCCAACTAAACAATTCTCCTCAAGCTAGCGCTGGTCTTCTAGAAGTATGGCATAAGTATCTAACCGTGGAAATGGCCTTCAGGAATTACTACCATTGGGTGAGAAACATTGTCAATTCGACTACTACTGTCGTTTTCAGACTACCAATTATTCTATAGTAGAGATCTTTTAGTTTTAATTACCCATCGTTTTGAATTAGCTAAAAATGGAAATAAACCTCGACCTCATAGAACCTGACTATCTCCAGGTCTCCGAGCTACTGATATACGGGCTTAAGAACAAGCACGGTGCCAAAGAACTAACAATGGTAGTGGAAATGGCCGAGCGGGATGCAAATAAGGAAAATGAAAAGAAACAGATAACTGAGAACAAAAAGCACAAATGCTTTGGTTTATCGTACACATTTGCATTTTCTTCTTTTAAGGGACACAAGATTTCAACAAACAGGCGTTTGCGTCACAGCCTTCTACTTGGAGCCATATAACTCATCGTATCTAACCAACGAAAAACCTCATCTCTTACACCACAACGTGTAAGGCGGACTGCACCAACCGAAACCAGTAGTAAGGCTAACTTCACCATAAACCCAACGCCAGGTCATGGCCTGACAGCCGCAACGCTTCGCCTAGCTTTGCCCACCACGTATAAAGAAAACCAGGAAAGAGAGACGATGGACAGGCAGATTGAGCCACTGAAGGCAGCGTAGAGGGGTTTCTTCTTCCCTTTTATCAACGCCCAATACACGATGAGTAATTCAGTTTTGTTGAATGGAGTTCTGTTATAACCACTGAACCGAGAAAATAGACTCAAACGAAGTCAATAGAGCCCTTCATTCGACCATCAGATGGGCACACCTCATTCTGACTCCTTACTAAAGCGGTTTCGCGTAATTTCTGTCCTCCCAATTTTTATCCAATCTGCAATTCATCGGACCCTCTGGTTTGCGAGCCCCGTACAAAGTGGTCTCCAGCTTTGCCTAATCTACTAACTGTTTTCAATGCTCCTCTCACACCACTCATCCACTTGTTTAAACCTCCCATAAAAACCAGATACGTCCGCTAAACTCTTCGAAGTTTGTGGTTGTAGATGACCTGTTCAGGACAGTATTCCAACCATCGCCCTGGAAATGTGGGCGCGGAAGGATCTCCTGTTCTACGCCACCTTTTCTGCTCTTCCTTTGATCCCAAATTTTGTCCCACTCTGTAGGGAAACGACATTATTTTTTTCCTATTCCAAGGTCTGGAGACCTTTTCAATCCCAATAACTGAGATCCCATCACCCCCAGTTTTGTCATTTTCAAAGTTTATAAACTCTTGACACCGACCAACTGAGTGCGCTTCTCGAACACGAAGGTTTGCTGAATGACCGTCAATATAGATTTCGCCCTCATTGATCTATAGGTGACCAAAAGGCTCTCATGCCGAATTTACCGGTCAACTACACTCGATAAATACATAGAAACTCGTTTAGTCTCGTTCATTTCTAGACTACTTCGTTTTCACGCGGACAGCCACCCTTTTTAGGTTTCCGTAACCAGATGTTGGGCTTCTATCTTTTAGTCTTCTTTCTTTACTCAGGACTATGAAAATGTGGAACATTCTATCTGCGTATCTCCAAACACTTTAAATCATACTCTTTTGTAAAGCAGGATCAACAATTTTGTCTCAGCTGGCTGTGCCCCCATATACCTTTCTCCTCACAGTTGTGATTGGCTATGCAATGACTTCGTCTAAAAAAGCCTCTCAGTTTGTCGTAACCCTCAGATAAACTAGCCATTCGGTGTGGGTTGATATACTCTTATTCAGCTAGATAAACTGAAGAAAGCGAGCCGAAACCAGTTCGAAATCGACGGGTAGGAATGTTGACAGTTAGTCTCAATCGTCTTCGAATCAAACCTTCTTCAGACACGTAGCACTACACGGCTATTTAAATAGATTAATATGTTCAAGTCTAATTCATAATAACTAAATAGAAAACCGTATTTCCGCAAAACAGTGTATAAGTTTAAATCCCAAATTTGCACAAAAATTATGCGACTGCTACAAGATGCACGTTAGATTCATTTGATTTTATTCAAACGTTAGACGCAGTTAGTTTCATGGAAATATTTTAATCCGTCCCGAGATGATCAACATAAGTATTTGGTACTTGACAGTTCACAATTCACGGACCAAATAATCAAAACGATCATCAGTATTATCCTCTCTGAACGCGTTGGTACCTCTGGTTTTAGTTACCTCCAGAAGCCAGGGGTGGGTGTCCAGGGTCGCGGTTGGTCACCCTTCCCTTGCGCCTCACGAAATGCTCGCATACGACCAAGCGTCTCGAATAGCCTCTGTTGAGGAAGCCCTACTCACTGCCTTCTCGTGGCGGAGGTGTTTTCCCACCAAAGTGAGAGGACGAAAAGCCGACATCCGGGGCTATAATCGGGTTGGTGGACCACTGGTAGTTTACCTACGGGAGTTGACCAAAATCCCTGATTCCAAACCAACCACGAGGAGGCGTANTGTAGTCACCGACTGGATTGGACATCGAGGTGTATTGGGCACCTTGGACGTTTGATCCCGTCCAAAGGGCGTATGATCCGATGAACTGGACACCGGCCCACAGTGGACTGCGACTTTCACACACCACCCCGCTGCCTTGCGGGTCAGGCTTTGGCTAGCCACAGGCTCAAGAAAATACACCTGTCGCGGCCTGGTTAACCTGGCAGTAAGCCGCCCACATACAATTCACAGAACGTCTTTCTTTTTATTAGGATTATTGGACCATGATTTGTTTGGCACAGTCTGGATTTAGACGTGTGTGAAAATAGATGTTCTAGTATATCTGATTTTAGCTAGAACGAATTAACTCCACTCACATCGAATCCGATTTTTTGGATTATACGGGCACATTTTCGGGACGCCAAATTCGCTTCCGCTTCCGATCGAGCACCGGTACAGACAAGCTTGCCGTTGGAAAATACAAGGCACGTCGCACGGGGATCATGTAATCGCACCACAGCACCGGGGAATCGTTTCGGATTGTATTCAGCACTGCGCACATGGAGAACTAACTTGCGAAGTTCAATCTGGCATTCCAAATGCACTGTGGAAATCACATTGCTAAAAAGATACACAGGATTTAAAAATCAATCGAAGGATAATCAATGAAGCTTCGACGCAATTGTGATAGGCGCACAGACTTACTAAATAAGAGGCTTCCGCATTCCATACATGAGTTCTGTGGCCTCATTGTCAGGAGCGACCGGTCGGAGAAGCGTGAGATTAGATTTCTCTTCCTCGCTACGTTCTTCATTAGACATGATTATTTAAGTCACAGATGGATAACAGAGAAAGTCATGAAGCCTGAAAAATGGTAAATATCGTAAATTACTTAAGATCAACTACAAAAAAGACACGAAAACAAAAACGGATAGCATCCGTAGTTATCTTAAAACGCACCCAACAAACAGATCTGTTTTAACTCAAATTCTGTCTTAAGGTAAAGCACAGCTGTCGGCAGTACATGAGACCTTTCCATTTTAAGGGAACATCATGTCAGCACAAACGGTCTTTCAGTCATGTGTACGTTATTCAACCCTTAGAAATGCTGGTAATTACCACCCCGATTGAATATCTGGATACCCTCGGGCTAAGCAGAGCTGAATACTACCAGGCGTGTCCTCGGAATGTGGATAGGGGGATACCTTCACAGAAGAAGGTTAGCTGTGAATAAATTGTGGCATACCGCAACAAATAAACAGTTGCGAACAAACAACGGCGGCACTATCAGGGTGTGGTGGATTTCAGGCTGGTCACCTGGCTCCTGTTTGAAAGCAGCATAAGACCAATGACGGTATCCTGACAAAGATCGATGTGACTGACCTTCAAAATAAAAAAAAGTCGAGTGACGCTGGGGACGTCTCTGGCAGCGAACTGACAGCAGTGGTATTCTTGTTGTCGTTTCTTTTCAGGTCGGAATGTCTAAAGCGGTATGTATGCACAGTTCGATTGCGTGCTGCTCTATGTTGACCATAGAGTTTTACCTTCTCCCTCGGCAAGAGCAGAGCTGTATGCTACCGAGCGCGTCCCCAGGTCGCGCATAGGGGAACAGCCGCTAACTGGCGGTCAACTGTGAATAAGGTTGGGTTTATTCTCACTGAATGAGCGGTCGCGGACGATCAGCGACAGTGCTCGAGGATGTGGTGGGTTTACCACTTGGCAAGAGTTCTCCACACAAAACACCACATGTATCTTATGACAGCGCTGTGACGTGGTGAGTGTGGCTCGCCACTGAATACTGTGATTGCCCCCTTGTCGAATTCCATCAACTCGACAAGGTTTTCCGGGGAAGACGGATGAACCAACCGACCGGTCACCGGCTTATCTGGAACAATACTGCTGCCTTGTAGTTCGCGCTTGGTTGCGTAAGGCCTACTCCGGACTGGGCGACCGAGTAGTACAACAGCCCACAATGCAAACAATGAACTTCAACTTAATCAATAACTTGCTCTTCCAGTTCTCGCGCATGAAAAAAACGCCTTACACCGTGCACATCTTCCTTTTTTCCAGATTTTCCTCCACCTCACATTCACCCCCCCCTCAAACATTCCCATTATTATCAAGATCTTCAGACAGTCGTACTACCAGTTGTGCCTCCAATGGAAATTCCGTCCCTTTTCTCTCGCGTCCGCCCAAATCTCACCGAATCTTCCTCCATCAGTTAAAGCTCTTTTTCGTCCTCGATGCCCATTCAAACTAGCCACAGTTAACGTGAGTACCTTGATGCGTATAGGACAATAGGCGTGTTTAGCTCGTACCCTCGAGACCCTAGCGATCGGTATGTGTTGTATCCAAGAGACTCGCATTCAAGACTCTAGCTCCGCCATCCGATTGAAGTCCCCGTCGAAACCATCCGCGAAGTTCCCTCAGCTTCTTTCTGGAGACTCTGAGACTGCGGCTTCTGGTCTTGCTGGCGTTGGCGTGACTCTCAGTGAGAGCTGACATCCGACTGTCGCTTAAGAGAAGGTTATACATCGCCGCGGTCCGTAGTGTTCTGCTTTACGGCTTGCATCTCAAAGCAGAGGATGTTAATCAACTTTCCGTGTTCGACCACCGATGCCTTAGAAGCATTGCTCGTATCTGGTGGGAACATCGGGTGAGCAATGAAGAAATTCGTCGTTGTGTGCTGGGTACTGATAGTCGTTCTCTAACGGAAGAAATCGTTCTACACCGCCTCCGAT